GAAATGTTCGTCGATCCTGGTTATGTCTTTAACTATCTTCCTCTCGAATACTCAACCGAGGAGTATATCCAATTCATCGAGGGTAGTTATTAATAACGAGACGCGTTTATTAATAAAACTTACTACCAAGTCAATATAGAACATGTGCCGTATATTAACCCGATAGTAGCAATAAACTTAAGATGAAAACGATTGAGATTGATAACCTCAACACAAGCGATTTAATGGTTTAATCAATATAATTAATTCCCCTCAGATTATTAACCATGAAACACATGCATTAATAATCCAAGTTCACTACCGTTGAACGAACCGAATTAATAACAAGCGTATTAATCGATCAGGGCCGGTCCTGTCAATTTCTGGGCCTATGGGCGGTACGCTATTTTGGGCCTATACCCATAACAAACAATAAATCATATTTGGGCAATGAAGTTCATAAAATAAAGACGAGAATCACTTTATTATTACATAAATTACATATTTGGGCAAAAGTAACAACACGAGTATTGAATAAAAAGAAAAAACATTACTTAAAAACATTTCTCGTAGACCAATGTGAAGCAAATCATTAATAATTGTTTCATATGCAACCTTCTTTCCACTAATAAATATGACAAACAATAAAATTGCCACATATAACAACAGTAAACTTTCTTTTGAAAGGATAAATGAAAAGAAATATTACCACATATTGAATTCATAAGTTGAGAATGATTTATTAACCGATGATGAGAGTCTAGAGTTTGAAGTCTCGAAAGAATGAAGGTTTTCAAAGAAACAAAATGTTTGACTGTCAAGAGGACTCGCGCAAGAAGATTGCAAATTTGACGTCCTCTAAAACTAATATTAGGAACTCAGATATAGCTTATTGAAATTTGGAAAGAAATGAATAATTTGGGTGAAATTTGAGAGAAACGGGTTTTAAAATAATTATATAAATTTGTTATGTTATAATTAAATTGAATAAAAAACCTTAAAAGTTAAAAAGATGTGAGGACTCGAGAGACGTGTCTTTGATTTATGCAGCGACAATTGTATTGCTTTTAAAGACTACAACCGATCCTGCAAAAAATTAATGTATATATTCTGTTTTAAACTTGTCCCTGTTTAAGACTCTTTATTTATGTTTTAAATTTTCAATTTGCCAACAAAATTAATCATTAGGCCTAATTAATTGAACTTAAGAATAAAAAAAGAAGCCTACTCACATTATATATAAAGAAAAAATTTTGAGCTTATTTTTTCTTCTATTTTTTTCGGGCCTAGGGCGGTCGCCCCTCTTTCCCCCCTCAAAACCGGCCCTGTAATCGATTGATTCTAGTAATAATTAATATATGAAACAAAACTAGTTGATCCTTTAAGTAATGCTCAAAATATTAATATGAAGAATGTATAGGAATTAATTAATATTCAAGGAAGAATATTATTAAAGAAGATGAATCCTACTATAATTAATATCAAGATGTTAACTAATTGTCATCTTAGCAACACTACCCAATATTAATATAGAGGAAGAAAATACTACTATAACTAATGTCAAGATGTTAACTAATTGTCATCTTAGCAACACTCCCATACATTAATATAGAGATAGTATTAAGGAAAGAACTAATAATTAATATTCAAGGAAGAAGATTAAAGAAAATAATTCACAACTTACAATTCATTAAGCTTCAAAGTAGCAAAACCAAGATGGAAGAGTTTAGCTCCTCATTTGGAGACTAAACATGATGAAAATACAAAGAAAGAACTATTCTAGACTGAGCTTAGAAGTATATGTGAATTGGTTATTTTATTGTGAAGGAAAGGGGTGTATTTATAGGCTTTTGAGGGCTGCAGGGTCTGATACCCGACCGGGTGTATAGGATACCCGATCGGGTATCTTAGGAAATTTCCCAGAAAATGACTTTTCGGGACATACCCTATCGGGTATGCTGGCATACCCGGTCGGGTATGAGCCAAAAAGTCAAAATCCTGCACGTTTTCTTGTCTTTCCAGATTCTGATTTTGACACCCGAATCAACTCAATACCCGATCGGGTATGTCGGTGTACCCGATCGGGTATGTGACAAATCTTTACGAAATCTTGCTCCCACGATCATTTGTTCCTGGATTTGATTTGGACAATCGAATCAAGCAAATACCCGATCGGGTATTGCTTATACCCGACCGGGTATAAAAGTATTTTATCCAAATCAAAATCTTTCTTGCCTTCTTGCACTTTCCTTGATCTTTTAAGGTCCAATCTTGATCCTTTGGAGGATCTTTGACCTGTTTAGCTCATAAAAGTCCTAATATAAACAAATTACAAACATTTTACAAACTAAACTATTACACCAAAAGTGTGTAATTTCTACAACCAGAACTAATAAAAACTATTTAAAATTACAAAAATAAACAATAACAATTCTATACTATCAATACCAGCTGCGCATGTGAGTAAAGATGATTCGGCCTGCATGAGACAAATGACTTATATAAAATCAGCAACTGAGATAAACCCGAAATACACGAGAGATGAGTAGAATATACTTAGGACCGGGAAGTCTTTTTATATTGAAAAAGAGCTCAAAAATCGAAAATCAGATAAATGAATGATAGGCATAAGGTGCAGCAGCCTATTCAATATTTTAATAAAGTCTATCGAAGGATGAATAAATCTTTAGCCTCTTTTTCAACTATCTCAGACTATCTCAACCATCTTACTCCCTCCGTCCCGCTAACAATGGGACAAGAGGGAGTGACACGCAAATCAATAAAAAGCGGTTTATGTGGTTGCTATTGAATTGATAAAGTAAAAATAAAGTAAGAATGATTTAGAGCCACACATACTTTGTCAAATTTGGTATGAGACAATCTTAGTGGGACGGATCGATAAGGTAAAATGAGACAATCATAGCGGGACGGAGGTAGTACTATATAAGCTTCATAAAAAGTTTGTTTTTTCCAAAAAGTATGACACCCCATCCCTGAGGGCCCCCCAACTCCGATCGGACGGTACGTTGGGAGGATGTAAATTGGACTATAATCCCAATCTGACAGATAGAGAATGGGGCTCTGTCCCCGGTACTTGCAAAGGCTCTATGCATTTTTTAGGATAGTAATCTCTCATCGCAGTTGTCTGGATTCGAATCCGGGACCTAACTCTTGTGGCACTCCCTCGCTACCAGTTGAGCTACGCCCGCCGGTAAGTTTGTTTTTTTCCTACCTTGCTGGATGGATTACCATTTTATGTAAGTAAAAGGAAGACTCTAATAAGTCATTCTTTTAAAAACAATAACATCTTGTGGCACAATGCTTTGCTTTAGTGCTTTTTATACTTAAAGCATTTACCTTATTAATCTTTATTTTGTTAAAATTGGATTAGCTTCTATGCCAGTCGGTGTTATTTTTGATTCCCCACCGCACTTAAAGGATCGAAGAGGAGACTAAAATCTTCTATAACCTTCTCATATCTCACCTGAATGGGATATTTACACGCTGCTCCTAAAGAATGTCATGTCATTCATTGAATTCAGCTATTCTTCCTCCTGAGTGCTATGTGATGTTCTAGAAAAAGTACAATTTTTTTAATCTAAATCAATAAGGTAACCAATAGATTGTTCAAACTTGATGCAATAACCCTAATCTGAAATGACATGACTTTAATAGATACATTAGCAAAATCTTAGAGATATTACTCAAAATAGGACTAAAACAATTTGAAAATTTCAAAATAGGACTTTCATGTTTTTATTCTCAAAATAGGATTAATTAGTGCAATGTTTTGGCAGTACCAGACTTCAAACATGACAGTATTTTCTAAACATGGCAGTAATTAGTTATATTTTGGAAATAAAAAACATGACAGTCCTATTTTGGAATTTTCAAACTGTTTTAATTCTATTTCGGGAACTTTCCCAATCTTAGAATCAAACTTTTAGAAATGAGACCGCCTGTGTGATGCCAAGGTTAGGGGCGCTGACCATCATTTTGATCGTTCCTAAAATGACCTAACCATCATTGATGTTCATAAGTTTTTAGAAATGACTATCATCCTTATTTGGAAGAGTATTATTACCATTCCTACCTTTAATACCCCAACTTTTTTATTGCATATTGGTAACAAATTGTATTTTTTAGTCTGATGTATTTAGAATACGGAGTATGAATTTAATTATTAGCATGTCTTTACTTAGATAGTTAGATTGTATTCAATCTCACATGCATCAAATTAGATCAAATTAAAGTTAAACATATAATAGTAAATCATATTAGAATTAAACAGATCAGATTAGACTTTGACAATTTTAAAAAGAGATATTACCGAAAATAGGACTAAAACAGTTTGAAAATTCCAAAATAAGACTGCCATGATTTTATTCTCAAAATATGACTAATTACTGCCATGTTTTGATAGTACCAGGCTTCAAACATGTCATTATTTTCTAAACATGGCAGTAATTAGTACTATTTTGGGAATAAAAAACATGACAGTCCTATTTTGGAATTTTGAATCTGTTTTAGCCCTATTTCGGAAATTTTCCCTTTTAAAAATACATATACATCTATCAAATTAAATCAGATCAATCCAGATCACACTAGATGTAAATAGACCAAATCAAACCAAACAAAACCAAATCAAAGTGGAGTATATCAGAAAATTCCAGTAATCAAAAGCATCCTTATAAACAACAGATTTTTGTTTTAGTTTTAGAAATAAAAAGTCAATAATGCAAGAAAATAGAAAACGTTCTATATACTCGCACGAGTAGCTCAGTTGGTCGAGTGGTGGGAAATTTGGAACAATGGACCAAAGTTCGAATCCCCGCAACGACTGAGTGGAGGTCACAAAACCTGAAATAAGAGTGGACCTCTGGTGCGCACGAGTGTATGAGCCTACTGTCATTCTAATGACTGAGTCATCGTGACTAACCTCCTCACCATGTCGGGTCGGGGTGGGGCTGGTGGCTTGGGAGATTCCACCTCTTGGAACAATAGAAAACGTTCCATATATAGGACCGAATAAGTACAGTCATGGAAAAACGAAGTTTATGTAGACGGGAAAGTATATCCGCCGACCCGCCCCAACACGGCATCGCCACGCCGCTCCGATATCTCATATAATCTCCTTTTCCGATCGTCTTTCATACAAATTTTATTCTTAGTTTCTTCTCCGACCAAGAATTCAGATTAGAAGGTGAGCACTTTTATTCTGAGCATCCGGAAAATGTTAGCGCAAGCACAGCTCCTGTTCTCGGTGGCGTTCGGGGAGATGTCGTTGATACTCCTCCTCCTCTTCAAGACCCCATTACGTAAGCTGCTGATTGTATCCCTCGACCGTGCCAAGCGCGGACGCGGCCCTATCGTAGTCAAGTCCGTCGGCGCCACAGTCTTACTGCTTTTCATCTACACCGTCTACTCCATCCAAGACATCCAATCCCGACCGCTGGAAAGCATCAATCCCACTGATCAAGTCCTCCTTGCTTACCAAATCCTTCAAGCTTCCCTCATGGGTATTTTTCTCTTTTTCCCTCGACCAATTGCCCCCTCTTACTCGTTTGATGCCAAGTATTTTATTTTTATACTCTCCTTCTGGCTTTAATTTTGTGTTTGTGTTTCTGGGTTTTGAGCTTCTTTTTGTGAGCGTCTTTACTCTTTTAGGTGTTGTTTGTTTCGTGGTGATTTTTGGATTGGCTTTGTTTGTTTACTGATTTAGGGCAAGAACTTGAGTTTTGAGAGAATATAGGTTAATCTCAAAGGAGAACCTTTGAAAAATCCAACCTTCCAGTTTTGGGGATTATCAGAATAGAATGTTGTATGTAATAATGTATTATATTATGGGTACTCTTGTAATGTTGTAAATTGGCTCTATTATAAATATACCTGAACTCATCTGAACTCATTCCAAACAACATTTCAGGGTATTCACCTGGACTGACCTAATAATGATCCAAATAATATTTTCCATATACACTTGGGTTTACCTGGATTGGTCCAGTTTCTATTAACCTTAGGTTCATTAGGTTCACCCTATCTAAAGGGGAGCCTTACCTTATTAAGTTATAAATTAGAACATCTGAATCTGATCAATCGGAATGTTACCTTTGAAAAAATTAACGAGTTCTAAAAGGTACCATCCTTTTTGAAGATTAACCGGATATTTTGAAGATTATGATTTTTAAGACTGATCATCCTTTTTCTTCCCGGTAGTAGAGGTGGATCAGAGATTTGTTTCCTTGTCTGTTAAAGACATATCTCTCTACTTATTGTTCTTTCAGCTCCCCTGCTGTAAATAGAGGTTCCAGGAATAAGTTGTGAGCATGATTCTTTAACGTTATGTAAATTCAAATCTCACTTTGCTTTACTCCATAGCCTTTGTGGTAGAGTATAGTACTTTAGCTCATGTGCTTTGGTAAAAAAGATATGTCTATGGAATTGCTATCTGTGTAAAAGATAAAGTCTTCATATTGAGTGGATTTACTGATTACAAAATACTTGGTCAACCAAAATGGAATAGAAACAGGGCTATAATGTTTAAACAACAGAGAGGGAAAAAACTTAACATACTAGAATAACGCAATTATATCATGGAATTCTTGGTTGGAGTCAGAATAAAGGTGGGATGAGTTTACATTCTTGAGAAATATGTATGTAGAGGAATTCAAATTCCGTAGTTTTATTGGCAGAAATGGGTAGATATGGAAGTAGTTGAAACTTGAAAACAGCACTGAGCCGTGGAGTCGTGGAATTAGTCGAATCATGGAAGTAGAAGGGAAAATACTATGTTAACCAAATATGCTCTTAGCATACGGTGTAAATGCGTAATTTTCAATGGTGCAATATGGTGCGTGCCATATTACGAATTAAGGCTCCTATCCACATTTTTTTTCCTAGCGACGACTTGGCGGCTTGGCATCATCGCCATCATCACGCTGGGACTTGGAATCGTAAAACCGGAAAAATCGATCCGAACCGAACCAAAATTTCCGGTTGAGTTCGGTTCCTATAATTTTGGACTTCAACTTTTTTTCGGTTCGGTTCCTATAGTATTTCATCGGTTCCGGTTCGGTTCTAGTTTGGTTCCGGTTCCTAGTCAGGAACCGAACTTCTTATACATTGCATGAGAAATCTTCATTTGAGGTGCTTCTAGGTGGAATTTTTTGATGAAATTTTGTGAGCTTGTTGTTCATGAAATAATGATTATGTCCATCAAATTTGAGCTTAAAATGCAACCGGAAGTCAGTTAAATAAATTATTGAAAAACATTACGCCAGAATATATAAAAAACACAATGGTTTTCAATATTTTATTTAACTCATTTACCGATTTAATTTTAAGCTAAAGTTTGGTATATATAATCTACATTTCATGTAGAACATGCTCAAAAAATTTTATTAAAAAATTCTACACGGAAGCACTTCAAAGGGAGGTGGCCATACGGCGTTCTGGGCAGAAAATTCTTGTCAAAAATATTTGTTTTGCATAATATACCTTATATATTGTGGACTAGGCCAATCCGAGTAGTTATTATTTTAATACTTTAGTCTAATTTTATATTTATTGTTTGTTTGTAATTGTATTTGTTATTGGAGTTCACCTCAAAAAGGAATTAATATTCTGTTGATTACGTTGTTTATTACTACGTACTTTTTACTTATTGTCCATTACTAGTAGAAGAATATTATTTTGGGGTTGAACTACCTGCTATTGGATGTGTACTTTGGAGCTATTGAACCCTTTTGCTTGACAATTGATGCCTATTTTAAACCAAGATTTTTCTTATGTTTAAATTTAATGTTGCACTTGCATATTTTTTTTATATTTGAACATTGAGATATCATGCATGTATAATGTAATGGTCATAATTTCATGATTTAAATTTTGAATTTTTTTTATGTAACTGCAGGTAAAATGTGTTCATTTTAGGAGGGCAATAAATTTTTATAAGGAACCTTAAAAAGGTAAGAACTGAACCTAATTTTACTAGAACCGAACCGAATTTAATAACTACATTTTTAACTAGAACCGAACCGAATTTAACGCCTACGATTTTTATACGGTTCCATCGAATTTTAACCAGAACCGAACCGATCCCAAGCCTACATCACGCCATGTGCCCCATTTTTTTAAACAGATTTTAACATGTTTATTTAGTTACTTTCAGGCTTTGGCCCTGATATTTAATTAACCAGTCAGCCCGTTAACATTGATTTGATTACTAATTAACTAATGAAGCAATCAACCCATAATATTAATAAACACCCTAATAAGAAGTAACTAAAGCCCAGCTAACGTAGTTAATGACGTAAATGAGATTAAAGTTTTTTCTGAGAGTGCAATGAATGAGAACGATGTTCCATTGTTACTAGATACAGATCCAGACGAGGATGAGGAGTGTGATAATTGATGATGATTATATCATAATCATCAACCACAATCAAGTTGATATGTTTCGGAAGATATCAAACTTTTTTGGATATTAAGTTACTTTTTGGAATTAAATTTAACTATTTGGACTTCACATGTTATGGTTAGAATGGTGGGTATTCAACTTATTTGCTTAGTTTTTGGTGGTTGAGTTATAGAAATATAGTGTCTAATTCTCTGTCTATAGTTCATGTTTATAGTTTTTATCTTTTGTGTCATGTGGCAACGCTATAAAAGCGCCATGGCCATCATTATGGACAAGGGGCGCCATGAATGTCGCCATACGCTATGGACAAATGCCTTGGCGCCGTGACTGTCGCCAATCAAATTACGTCTATGCCCTAGGGAGAAGAGAAATTAATCGCAGAAGGGAAGACTGATAGTTTTCTCATGCTGCTAGTATTACAATGCCTAGATCCCACTGTACATATATGCCAAAATTCATTCCAGTCCAATGCCCACTTTCAAAATCCGTCCCAGCCAAAATTTCATTCCAGCCCAATACATGGATCCTACTGTACATATCACAATGGACGGATCAATTCTGCTGTTCTGACTTTTTTGCTCATTGGGTGCCCGGGCTCATTTAATGTCAAATTGTCAATATAGATGTAAAAACTCTATTTCTATTTCGTAATCTTCTTGCCATATTTCCATTTTGGATATTGTAGAACTGTAGATAAATGGAACTTCTGGCGTCATATTCACACAATTTGATTATTTTAATCTAGATCTAGTTGGGATTCGAAGGGTTGGGTCGAAGGGGAGGGTCTAATGAGTTGAAGTGTTGAACTATGTGGACCATTGTATGGCACGGATAAGAAAGGGGATACTGAGTGACTTTAACCTCTGATCTCCCACGCTTCTTCTTCTTCCCAGAATAATTTGCTCTTCTCAGCCTCCATATGTATAGTAATTTTTGCAGTATTTCCTTAATGTAAGCACGAAAAGCATATTAGATTCTCTAAGTTATATCCGAAAAGCGATGGCGTAAGTGCATAACATATGAGTACATAGTGAATCAGTTGGTCTATTGAGTGCGTCTTTACCCAACATGATATAAATTGTCTCATATATCTGCCCATGTGAATGCAGGGTTTGTACTATTTCTTGCACTAATGATAGACAGGCTGCATCACTACATAAGAGAGCTTCGTGCACTCAGAAAGGCCATGGAAGCTGCGAAAAAACAAGATCAAAGCCTTGATAATGGTAAGAGTGGCGGTGGGGAGAAGAAGGTCAAATCCCTTAAAGATGAAATATCTTCATTGACGTCCAAGATAAGTGTGCTGGAATCACAACTTCAAGATGTGAGGGCTCAGGAAGCCAAGTCTGAGTCTCTTAAAGTAAAGTATGAGCAGTTGCTACAGGAGAATCAAAATCTTAAAAGCCAATTAAATGCTATCAAATGAGGCGGTGAATGAATGATAGTAGCGTTCCTCTTGTGGTGGATAACTGGAGATCGTGTTTTATGTTCCCATCAATAACTTGTCTCTTTGGGAATATCATTTGTATTTCTTTGTTAACTATGAAATCATGTAACATTGTCATTTGTAAGTGTGCATATCTATGTCTATGAAAGACGGAGCTATTAAAATTGGGCAATCTTAAGTATCTTATGTGACATTCATCTATTGGAAGATCAATAGATGGACTTAGGAGTGGACTCGGGCCGGGCCAACTGGTCCGGAATCGGACTGGTCCGCTACTAACTACTGTGCTGGCCCGGACCGGCCCGGTGAACCGGTTGGTGTCCGGTTCGGGCCACCCGGCCCGGTGAGGTAGGCGGTTCGGGCCCGGGCCTGCTAAATAGTGAATCGGACCGGCCGGTTCGGGCCTGATCCGGGCCAATTTATTTATTTATTTTTTTTTTTTGAATTTTTTTTAAGTTTTTGGGTTGGGCTGGGTATGATGGGCCATTTGAGGTGGTTTGGGGGTGAGGCCGTGAGGGGGAGGGTTGGGGGTTAATTAGAAAAAGCCAAAAAAAATTTTTACATGAACCGAGGCCCGGCTTGGCCTGGCTTGGACCCGAGGGTTACCCGGGCCGGTTCTGGGCCTCCCCTTTCATGAACCGAGGCCCGAACCGGGCCCGAATCGGAACCGGTCCACCCCTAGATGGACTTGTGCGTAATGATATCTCCTCAGGTTGTCAACTTTTATTTTTTTTTGAGAAAAAATGGTTTATACTCTCCCTCAATCCCGAAAAGGTTGGTCAAATTTACTTTTTTGGATGTCCAAAAAAGATTTGTCATTTTCATTTAAAGTAAGGAATATGTGGTTAAAATTAACTCTCTCTTCTCTGCACAAATTTCAACCACACATTTTTTACTTTATTAATCCACGTGAAAGTCAACATTGACTAATCTTTTCGGGATGGAAGGAGTATTAAAATCATAGAAATCGACTGAACAACAAGGCCAAACACAGAGATGAGCAAGCAAGACCACAAAACATTACTCAATTATATGCTCTGAGATCAGACTCACAAACTATCACCCACTTAGGAGCAATATGATTCACTTATTTCCACTTGAACAGTTGTAAGCTAATCATGATAGATGATGTATTCTCATCACTGGGATCTCCAGAATTGACGGGACGATTATGTGAGATGATGTAATTTGAACATTGATCACACTCTGAAACCACAAATTCTTTACTTTAAAAAGAAAGTGACAAAATTAATGTGACATCCAAAAACGGAAAGTTGATAAAGTTTTAAAAGACGGAGTGAGTAGAAATTAGACAATCTTAAATCAATACTACAAAATCCATTAGCTTTCATTTCAACGGGACTGTCCTCATAGCATTCTTCAAACAACATCATTAACCAAATCTTTTTTAAAAAATGATCGGTTTCTCTATTTGTAGAAACTAACAAATTGTACATGTTGTGAATTGTGGACTAATACAAAATAATTAGGAAAATCAAACCCATAACTACTACTATTTATGTCCCATTTTATGCATTTCATTTGGTTTTGGCACAATTATTAATAAAATGATTGAAAAGGTAAAAATTATGGTTGGGATTTAAACAAGTATAGTAAAGTGAAATATTGTGAATCACATATTTTTTTCCAAAAAATGAAATGTGACACTTATTTTGGATAATCCAAAATAAAAAAAGTAAAACAGATAAATGGGACGAAAGGAAATACTACATACGTATATTAATTTTTGAGAAGGAGGGAGGGGGCCTTGGGGGCTGTGTTTAAAAATCAACCCGGACAAAAATCCGGTTCAGTTTGTTCAAAATGTAGAAATGGTCAAAAACCGGAAAAACCCGATCCGCACCCAGACCTAAGAAACCCAAAAAACACGGGAAAATCCGATTTTGGGTATTTTCCAAAAAGAATATAAATTCTTTGTTTTAATTTCAATGCAGTTTTTAACCAATAATATTGCAATTTCAATATCGTCAAAAGAAAAATTGTAATATATTTATATATTTGTTTAAGAATGAAAAACATGCCAAATAAGTACTATCTCCGTCCCTTAAAACTTTGCCAAAGTTGACCGACACGGAGAATAATAAAGTAAAAACTGTGTGGTTGAAACAGAAATCACAAAATAATTGATTAAAAGCGAAAGTAGCAAAGTTTTTTGGGACTTCCCAAAAAGGAAAGATGACAAAGTTTTAAGGGACGGAGAGAGTATTATCATTAGTTGATTATTATGATAATAACTACTTTTTATTATAATTTTGTATATGTTTATATGTTTATTATTATATGGACACCGTGTCCGGATTGACCCGTGACCCAGTCACGTGACCGGGTTACTTCCCGGTTCGGTTTTTTTAAACATAGCTTGCAAGGCTTGGATTAGGGTAAATTTTTTATTGCTTCGTATTATACTCCCTCCGTCCCACTAAAATTATCTCATACCAAATTTTGTAAAGTTTGTGTGGCTCTAAATCATTCTTACTGTATTCTTATTTTATCAATTCAATATCAACCGTATAAACTATTTTTTATTAATTTGCGTGTTACTTCCTCTTGTCTCATTGTTAGTAGGACGGAGGGAGTATATTAAAAAATGTATCGAACCAGTTGGATTAGTTGGATTAATAATGTACACAAAAATATTGTTATGAATTTTATTTGTTCGAACTGTTCGAACCCACGTCCTAGCTCTGCCCTGGCTGTTATAACATCAACTTTTTGTTTAAGTGGTTGACTTGCACACAATCATTATTTTAAATAGCTGACTTTCAAACAATACCATATTAGACATATTAATTACATTGAAAAAAAGGATGACACCTCATCCCTCAGAGCCCCGCAACCTCGATCGGACGGTAAGTTGGAAGATGTAAATTTGGACGCTGCCTACAAATGATCTCTGTATTTATGTAGATGCTAGACCATCCCAAAGGAGAGTACATGATGGTGTCTTTAGCGTCACAAGCGTCTTAAGATTATAAAGTTTTGGGCTAAACTGGAAATATAATTAATTCATAAAAATACATATCAATATATAAATTAGACATAACTTCTGAGAATTTGGGTAGGCCATAGCATGAATTTGGGTAGGCACTGAACGAATTAGACGGACCATGGAAGCCACACCCAGCAGGGCCGTAACGAACGTCAATGGCGCCCTCGGCTGGACATGCCGAGGACTCCCCTCACGCACCCGGTGAGCACTATCCTCAACTATGCGGAAGAGCAGGACCTTTTCCCCAAGGACCCTCGGTCGGCGAGGGAGATCTACGCCATCCACCTAGGCGGCACTTATTGCCGTTACCACAAAAGCACCTCCCACATGTCTCGTTAAAGAAGGCTATTGAACTCTTAATTCAACGGGGTGAGCTCCACCAATTCATCAAAAATGCCCCAAGGAAAAACACCAGGGAGAACACCGATAAAGAAGAAGGGGACATCGCAACAAAGAAACATGAAATCGGGAGGCTCAGTGACGGAGAGGAGTTCGAGGAGCCCCAGCCGAAGAAGCGCCACCTCCGCTAATCATGTTCCTCACCTTCGGCGTTAGTCTCAGCCTTGGGCCCTCGACCTCGAGGCACATTACCATCCCCTCGGCCTAGAGCCCTCGGCCTTGAGCGGTGAATCTTAACAAAGCCGTTGTCAAACAATGCACCCCTTGTATTCCACTTATTTCTATGAATTTAAGTAAACTACAACACAATCCAGACATCTTATCGGCCCCTTCGAGACCAAATGCCCAGGTATGGCCGATGGTTTCTAGAGACGAGGGGCCTGCAAAAGGCCCGCGTTTTTGGAGCGGGACGCTCGCCGCGTCGCCGGCGCGCAACGCACGGCGACAGGCCTGAAAGAATGGCTGAGGTGACGAAATCCCCAAACTTGGGGGTGAAACGGCAGTCGTCGGAAACCGACCAAGCCTAGCCCGCGCCGTAAATAGACGACGGGATCCCCCAAGGTCAAGGGACGGTTCAGCGCCGGGGGACTAACAGACGAACCCCCGGACGGATCACTTGGACCCCCTTTCGGCCGAGGTGGGGAAGCAACCCCCTCGGCCGAAGCCTAGAAGAAGGAACACACATCAGGAGGACTAACATACGACCTCCTGGCACAATCAAGGGACGGCCCAGCGCCGGGGGACTAACAAACGAACCCCCGGACGGATCACTTGGACCTCCTTTCAGCCGAGGCGGGGAATCAACCCCTCGGCCGAAGCCTGAAAGAAGGAACACACATCAGGAGGACTAACATACGACCTCCTGGCACAATCAAGGGACGGCCCAGCGTCGGGGGACTAACAGACGAACCCCCGGACGGATCACTTGGACCTCCTTTCGGCCGAGGCGGGGAATCAACCCCTCGGTCGATGCCTGAAAGAAGGAACATACACCCAGAGGACTCCTGGAACTATCAAGGAAAGGCCCTCGGCCTCAATTCGATTCCACGTCACCAATGGCCCTCGGCATTAGCATGATTCCACGTCACCAACGGCCCTCGGCCTCAGCGTGATCCCACATCACAACGGCCCTCGGCCTCAACATCAGACGGCCCTCGGTCTCAAAATCAACAACGGCCCTCGGCCTCAACATCAGGACGGCCCTCGACCTCAGCATGATTCCACATCACAATGGCCCTCGGCCTCAACATCAGACGGCCCTCGGCCTCAACATCAACAACGGCCCTCGGTCTCAACATTAGAACGACCCTCGGTCGCAAAATCAACAACGGCCCTCGGCCTCAACATTAGGACGGCCCTCGGCCTCAACATCACCAAAAGCCCTCGGCCTCAACGTGATTCAACATCAACAACGGCCCTCGGCCTCAGCGTGATCCCACATCACAACGGCCCTCGGCCTCAGCATCAGAACGGCCCTCGGCCTCAACATCAACAACGGCCCTCGGCCTCAGCGTGAGGACATCACAATGGCCCTCGGCCTCAACATCAGACGGCCCTCGGCCTCAACATGACTCTATGTCATAACGGTTTTGGCCTTAGCATGATCTCACATCACCAACGACCCTCGACCTCAGCATGATTCCACATCACAATGGCCCTCGGCCTCAACATCAGACGACCCTCGGCCTCAACATCACAACGGCCCTCGGCCTCAACATCAGAACGGCCCTCAGCCTCAACATCAACAACGGCCCTCGACCTCAGCGTGATGACATCACAATGGCCCTCGGCCTCAACATCAAATGGCCATCGGCCTCAACATGACTCTATGTCATAACGGTTTTTGCCTTACATGATTTCACATCACCAACGGCCCTCGGCCTCAGCGTGATCCCACATCACAACGCCCCTCGGCCTCAGCATCAGAACGGCCCTCGGCCTCAACATCAACAATGGCCCTCGGCCTCAGCGTGAGGACATCACAATGGCCCTCGGCCTCAACATCAGACGGCCCTCGGCCTCAACATGACTCTATGTCATAACGGTTTTGGCCTTAGCATGATCTCACATCACCAACGGCCCTCGACCTCAGCATGTTTCCACATCACAATGGCCCTCGGCCTCAACATCAGACGGCCCTCGGCCTCAACATCACAACGGCCCTCGGCCTCAACATCAGAACGGCCCTCGGCCTCAACATCAACAACGGCCCTCGGCCTCAGCGTGATGACATCACAATGGCCCTCGGCCTCAACATCAAATGGCCATCGGCCTCAACATGACTCTATGTCATAACGGTTTTTATCTTACATGATTTCACATCACCAACGGCCCTCGGCCTCAACGTGATTCCACATCAGAACGGCCCTCGGCCTCAACATCAACAACGGCCCTTGGCCTCAGCGTGATTCCACGTCACAATGGCTCTCGGCCTCAACATCAGACGGCCCTCGGCCTCAACATGACTCTATGTCATAACGGTTTTTGCCTTACATGATTTCACATCATCAAAGGCCCTCAGCCTCAGCGTGATTCCACATCACAACGGCCCTCGGCCTCGACATCAGAACGGTCCTCTGCCTCAACATCAACAACGGCCCTCGACCTCAGCATCAGAACGGCCCTCGGCCTCAACATCAACAACGGCCCTCGGCCTCAGCGTGAGGACATCACAATGGCCCTCGGCCTCAACATCAGACGGCCCTCGGCCTCAACATTACTCTATGTCATAACGGTTTTTGCCTTACATGATTTCACATCACCAAAGGCCCTCGGCCTCAACGTGATTCTACATCAACAACGGCTCTCGGCTTCAGCGTGATTCCACATCACAACGGCCCTCGGCCTCAACATCACAACGGCCCTCGACCTCAGTGTGATTCCACATCACAGCAACCCTCGGCCTTCATCCCTCCGGCATTTTATTTGATGTCAGGGGCTATCATACAGGCTCATCGGCCTTCATCCCTCCGGCATCTTTATTTGATGTCGGGGACCATCACACAGGCCATCGGCCTTCAGCCCTCCGGCATCTTTATTTGATGCCGGGAGCCATCACACAGGCCGCTCGGCCTTCATCCCTTCGACATCTTTATTTGATGTCGAGGGCTATCATACAGGCCCATCGGCCTTCATCCCCCCGACATCTTTATTTGATGTCGGGGGAATCACACAGGTCCCTCGCCCTTCATCCCTCCGACATCTTTATTTGATGCTGAGGGCTATCATACAGGCCCATCGGCCTTCATCCCCCCGACATCTTTATTTGATGTCGGGGGAATCACACAGGTCCCTCGGCCTTCATCCCTCCGACATCTTTATTCGATGCCAGGGGCTATCATACAGGCCCATCGGCCTTCATCCCTCCGACATCTTTATTTGATGTCGAGGGCCATCACACATGCCATCGGCCTTCAGCCCTCCGGCATCTTCATTTGATGCCGGGAGCTATCATACAGGCCCCTCGGCCTTCATTTCTCCGATATCTTTATTTGATGTCGGGGGCCATCACGAAGACCCCTCGGTCTCCATCCCTCTGGCCTCTGTATTTGATGCCAGGGGCTCTCACACAAGCCCACCTGGCCTTGCACCCCTCCGTCACCTTTATTTGATAACGGGGGGGGGGGGGGGGGGGGGGTCCTTACAAGCTCCTTAGCTTTTTCATGCAGGGATCTAAGGCTGATCTTGGATATCTCTTCAGCAGACGGACACAACCGCCGCTCAACAATCAAGGCCGAAGGGTGCACTCCTTTTGCTTCATTCTGGGGGCATCCGGTGTACTCTTTTTCCCTCATTAGGATTTTTTCCCACAGGGTTTTTTCCTAATGAGGTTTTTAACGAGGCATCTCCCCATTGTGGAACAAAAGGCGTCGCCCCTCGGCGGCTCCTGCTGAAGGCATGCATCACTCTACTCCTGTTTCCCTCGAGAAACTCTCGGCAAAAGGAGTGGGGGACTGGGGGACTCCTCTCGGCAAAACACGCAAATGTTAAAAATTTTCTATTTCTCAGCTACAGCAAACTGAGGCAAGATCACAACGGCAATCTACTCCCCTCGACATGATGCTTTCGGCTTACAGAATGCCTCCGGCCACACAATGCCTTCGGCCACATGATGCCTCCGGCCACACAATGCCTTCGGCCATATGATGCCTCCGGCCACACAATGCCTTCGGCCACATGATGCCTTCGGCCACACAATGCCTTCGGCCACATGATGCCTTCGACCACACAATGCCTTCGGCCACATGATGCCTTCGGCCACATGATGCCTTCGGCCACATGATGCCTCCGGTCACATGATGCCTTCGGCCACACAAAGCCTTCGGTCAACAAATGCCCTCGGCAAAGCACACAAATGCAGATCTCTCATTACTTTACAAATTACAACAAAGAAACACATACGAGAAACACACTTACACTCCCTTCAGGAAGCTCTCAGCCCTCGACATATGGGGGAATTGAGAAAATGAGGCACTCAACAGAACAGGGAAGCCTTCGGGGAAATCACCACAACTACTCCTTTTCCCTCAAGTACCTTTCGGCAAAAGGAGTGGGGGACTCCTGATGGAGTATATGGCCCAGGGACCCCCGGCCCACATACTTCCTCTACTACAATCAGGCCCAATAGGCCCAAACGGGCCAAGCCCAGCAAAATGGAGCTCTAAGCAGCCCACAATACGCAAAGGGGTGCCTTCGGCCCTATGGCCGAAAGCTACCAGTGACGGAATCGAGCTTAGAAACATCACAGGAGAACAAGGCTTGAAAACCAAGCCTTCGGCAACTGCAGCCCTTGGCGGGTAGGAGCCCTCGGGTAGAAGAGGCATCACAGGAGAACACGCCTTGAAAACCAAGCCTTCGGCAACTGCAGCCCTCGGCAGGTAGGAGCCCTCGGTTAGAAGAGGCATCACAGGAGAACAAGGCTTGAAAACCAAGCCTTCGGCACCTGCAGCCCTCGGCGGGTAGGAGCCCTCGGTTAGAAGAGCCTTCGGCCCAGCACCCTTCAGCCGAAGGCATCCACCTCGACAGAATATCCTCTTCACATGCGCCTGGATCACCGTACCAAGTACAAACGTCACATCCAACCACCGCATTTAATGCGGCCACATGCGAGTGCCAGTGCCACCCCGGTCGAGGTGACCCCTCGACCACCAGAAAACTGACACGTGTCCTTATCTAGCATTTATTACTGCTATAAATAGCACCCCTTTCCCCCATGGTAAACCACACTTAATACATATCGAATATACACTCTCTCTCTTACTTGTTTGCTCTGACTTCTCTCTAGTTATTCTTCGCAATAACCCCTCGGATAAGCTACCCCCGGGTACACTATCCATCACCTAGTTTGAGAAATTCTCTCTTCCCAAAACATGAGTAAAACAAAAGTGCAAAAATGGGAGTCAATGTTTAAGATTCTCATAATAGGAGTAATTAATTGTGATTTTGTGATTAGGGAAAGACACCTTTGTAATGCCTGGGAGCTGGGGGAACTTAACAATATTAACGGGTCATCATATTGACTTTTATTGGTCTGACAAACTTTGGACAATGACTTTAGATAGTACCAGCTCTCTTCGTCCTTTAAAGTTCTTCTCACTTAACTTTTTGTGACTTCCCAGAAAATTCTTCTCATTTTTCTTTCGGAAAAATTTTGTGTTACTAACATTCATTTATTTTTTTTCTCACTCAGTCACAATCATACATTCTCACTTTATTATCACTTTCCTAAACTCGATCAAAATCAAACTGAGAAGAATTTCAATGGACAAAGAGAGTATTAAATAAGAGTAATAATTTGCGATTAGATAAAAACAAACCAGGCAAAACTATATAAAAAAATTCAATCGTGTAAATGAAAAATCAATAATTACAATACAATGTCAAAACCCAACTCCACAAAGTCACTTGGCCAGCAACATGTTGTACAAGGGCTCCAAATCGGCAGAAGCAGCTCAAGAAACCAAACTGCCCAAAACTAGTCAGCGGGCCGGGCAGAAGGTCAGAGACAACCTGCGGGTAAGCGTCCCGTGTCTTCCTAGCAACTTGCCCACCGGCGAACAGAAGCTTCTGCTCTTGTCGGCCAATGTAAAATAAATTTCGAATCTTCCAATATCCATTCTGAAAGTTGTAAGTCAAGCTGACTCGATCAGCTTAGCCCAATGGTCGATTTTTTCTTACTTTTCTCGCCACTCAACCAATTTCTAAAGCTTTATATCTACATTTATTAATGAACTCAATAAGAATGCCAATTGCCCAATAACAGAGACACAGAGGCCCGGCGGCCGGCCGGAGTTTTAAAGAACATTGATGAAGAAGTAGTTTTACTGACTCCAAAAACTGAGATTCTGTCTAACTGTTCTGTACCAATAGAACAATACCTACTAACATTACAGCCATTACTGTCATTAAATAATGAGTTGTGACCACGTGAAAAGCGCATCACCTTTCCAACTCTGTTTCAGTGTTTCTCTGCTTCACCACCATCTCTTCTGACTGTGGTCCAAGATTCCTCGTCCCATTCCCCGTTTGGCTTCTCCGGTGATTGGTCACATAATTTCCTGATCCTTCCTAAAGGGGAATCATCATCCTCCACTGATCTCTCTGCCCGCCGCCGTACCGGACCCTCCATTGAGTTCCAAATCTCCTTATCAAGAACGCTCGTCGGTGAACTCCGGGATTCCTTCGGGATTTGATTATTTTGATTCCGTGCGTGTTGGAGAAGGAATGGATGATTCAGGAGCTGTTCTGCCGTCCATCGATCTCCAGGCTTTTGTCTCAGGCATTTTCCCAGGAAATCCTTCGCTTGGTCGGAGAGGGAATCCGGAATCTCCGGCGACTCCCCTGAATATGCTATCCGGTAAAGTAGTGATGCCGGGTCTATCGCGTTTGGCCACGGCGAGCCGCCGCCGGTGGCCATTTCGATGACTGTACACCCCAATGCCCATATGTCCGCCGGGAATTCCTGTTCCTTCCCCTGCGCCGTCTCCGGCGACATGAACATCGGCGTGCCGCCCATACACGCGGCGGCGCTGCCGGACTGTTTCGCGCAACCGAAGTCGGCGATTTTGGCTCCGCCGTCGCCCAGCAAAACGTTCCGGCTCTTAATGTCACAATGTACGATTCCTCTTGAATGAAGATACTCTAGTCCCTGTAAAATTTGGCGCGTGTAAGCCACGATCTCCGATTCGCCGAGCTTCCCGCCGCTTCGCCGGATTCCGTCGCGTAAATTCCCGCCGGCCATGTACTCCAACATGAGATTGAACACTACGATGTTATTCTCCCTAGTAACATCGTACCCTTTATACCCAACAATCCAAGGATTGCTGATCGTGGACAGAATTGTTTGCTCTCTTTGAAGGAGCTCCGAATGGGGGAGCTCGGCGGACTTGACGGCGAACATCTCCTCGGAGTCGGACGAGGTGGCGGCGTATACCGTGGCGGAGGAGCCACGGCCCAGTATATGCCCTCTGCTCCAATTCATATTTCTTTGATTGGAAAAATTGGAGACTAAAGGATCTTCTAAAAGAGATAGCTAGTTGCAAAGAAAGATGGTTTGGTTATGTGTAGCTAGCTTCTTGGAGGGCACACTTGGAAGGGTGTTTACTTATGTTTGGGGTTTTATATTATAATTATTATTGTTGTTATTTATTTATTTAATTAGACGAGCATATAATAAGGGTATGGACGGAGGAAAAACATGTGTTCCCACGGATACATAGAAGTTAGAACAAACAAATCAAGAGCCACCTAATTACACAAATGAAATCATTTATGTGGGACAAATCAAATAGGTGCATATTTTCCATCTCATATATACTGATATGATATTTAATAATTGGTTCATTCACAGCTCTACTAAATTAGAATACCATTTGGGCTCAACGGTGATTGAGTGACGTTGTTGGATTGAGATCTCGTGTTCAATTCCCGACAGCGGCAGTGTGTGAGTTTCATACAATGTGATGATTCATTGTGTGCACCAGATTCTAAATCACTTCACTCAAAACCATTTGATATCATACCATTAATTACTCCTTCTTCACTTTGTAGGGTCCAGAGGTGGAGCCAGGACACTGGGCCAAACTGGACCGACTTGGATCAGGATGTGGAGGCGTCTGAGGTGGGAGATTCCACAAAGAATACCATTTGGTCATAATAAAAACCCTTTCAATCGATCTCTTTAACCACAAAAAAGCTTTAATTTACCACAATCTTTTTCTTGAGAATTTCAACTTCATTATGTGGCTAATTAAGGACAAGTAATTTTGGTATTACACACTGTAATCGGTAGTAAGAAAACGACTAACCAGAAAACTTTATACTGCGTAGTTAAAAACTAAGTATGGTTAAAGATTGATTATGTCTTTTTCATAATTTCATTATACACGTTGTTAGTTTGTTACTTAAGATCACGCTCAATATATTTTTGACACGATTCGGTTATCTTTAATTTTTAAATTTGGATGCAATTGGATCATTAAGTAAACATGACTTTTTTTGAAAGGAATCTAATTAGTTGACATTATTCGTATTATACTAATCAAAATCAATGTTCAAATTTTTTAAAATGGAAAAGTTTTTTAGGACCGAGATAGTCAGGTAGTAATATTCTAATAAAAAAATATCATTTTCATGTTATAAATGTTTGCATATAAAAACTAATAGCATTATTATCTTGAAAAGTAAAAATAGTTGATTAAAATTGGGACACTTTCTCAGTTTCTCCCTTTGAGTCGTCGCTGACTGGCAGCTTTGGGGCAGTTCATAAAAGTCAAAGGGATAGATTTGAATTTATTTTAAAAAATTTATTGGTCAATCACATTTTTGCAATAGAATTTTGCAATAGAAAATCTAATGGCATTACTAGCTTGTAAAAGTACAAAAGTCGTGCTTTTTTCGGGAAGTTTGTTCTTTGTCTCATAGTCTATTTCGGTGAATTCACCCGAGTTGTATTGAGAATGTTATACTTTTCACGTACTTTTAACAAAAAACATTTTCATATATTTTTCATATTATAAATAATTTTCAATAAAAAGATATAGTCGATCAAAATTTTGAAAATGATAAAGTTTTTTGGGACAGATGTAGTATTATAAAAGTAAAAATTTATAATTTTTGCAGAAATATATACGTACTCGTATTAGTTAAAATGATTGAATAAAATTTACTATATCTAATATTGGCTAGAGAAATCAAAGATGATTAACCAAAAAGAGACGGATGTAGTCACGTCACCACTCATTCTCGTATTACTGCAAAGGCCCCCACCTACGGTGCAGAACGAAGTAGCGGATGTACGCAGTCTTATCATGTACTAAAGCACGTAGAGACCGTTTCCGGATGATTATAGTAAAATTCGAGCAACGAATTACATGGATTCACGGTTGCTTCACAACAAAGAAGCGTACACAACTTAGTTAGTCATTTTGCTCTATTTCATCGATCGGAAATTCTTGAATCCGCAACCTGCCCCTTCATCATGCTGGCCGCCACCTCACCACCACTCGAATGTCATGATTTTAGTTTGTAAAACTTCTCTTAATCAATGACCTAAGTAAGTAATAAAAAAGTACCCACGAACTAAATGGTGTATTAACTCTAATAAAATATTCGTTTCGTGCTCAACTACTCTAAGTGATGGTCTTTTCCATATGGAAGCGGCCTTTTTGGATGTCCACGTGTCCTCCTGTTAAATACACACCTTTTCTTCCTCTCTGACACTTTTGTTCAGACGTGACTAATCCGTTGACCGGTGTTTACAACGTGGCAAAACTCCCGTGAGCCTTGAACGACTTGAGTAGGCAAAGGGTTGGCATTTGGCAACAATATAAGTTAATTTTTCTATTCTCACAATTTAATTCCTATCATCTCATCTAATCTAATCCAAATATATCCTTATCCATGGTCAATAATTCAATAGGCCGGAGTTAATTAATTATATGCCTACGTGACACTTTTTGTAGTTGTTATTCATCCCGAGCTTCTTGACAATTCTTGACTTGCAAGTTACAAGAATATATGCAAGATTATATTAATTATATCGGTTTTATTGGATTGGAATTTTATGATCTGGTATGATCGGAATTTATTCATCAAGTATAGTTGATCTCAAGAAGTTCTCTTTGGTCTAATAGATGTATACGTAGTATATATTATGTGCATTTCATAACTGTCGCAATCCATCTGTTTTGATATGATCCGGTCTGAGAGTGAAACTAATCCAATTAAAAATATCATTAAGATTTAATTATATAGATGAACTAAAGTCATGTGGTTTTGTTGTGAAATGAGAATCCATGATGAGTTTGGATGAATACTGTTGGTATCGCAAGACGTATACTATGATCCTTGATTTTTACAAAGGATTATTAAGAGCATTATTTTAGAATAACACTTACTCTCCTATAACATTTGTAACTTCTATTAAAGAACATTTATGGAATAAAAAGTGAGGGCGCAGGGAAAATAAAAGAAAAGACAATTTTAAAGAATTTTTTTTTACAACACGACTAGATGTTACGAACTAATCAAGTATTGTAGTACAAAAGTACGATTATTTGTGATATTATATAATCATTTGCATCATTTAATAAATTAAATAATGATTAAATTGTAAAAGTAAAGTAAATAATAATTGTTAGAAATCAATAAGGGAGGGACACATCAACATTTTGTAACTTAACTTTATGATATAAAACAATACATAGATCATACTACGTATATTAAACTAGACCATATTAAATTATACATTATGAAATCAGACTAGTTTACAACACACTACGTATCATGTACTCGGATCCCTCCATCCCGTGATTAACTTACCACCCTGATTTCACACATTAATTAATGAAATAAAATTTTTAAGGGGGTAAATTTCCCAGATTTGACACTCTTTCGACACTGTTTGATATTGTTTGGCACTGCTTTGCACTAGTATGCACTATTTTGATGTAGATAATTTGTCAAACAAGGAAGTGAGAAGAAGCGAGAAGTTAATTTAGGGACTTCCCGAAAAGAAAAGTGAGAAGTTAATTTCAGGACGGAGGGAGTATGTAGTATAAAGATGCTTTTAATTGGACTGAAAATTTCTGATCTTGTGTGACCTTGTTGGATTTGATCTGGTATGGTCTGGTAGATGTCTAGTGTATGTGTATTTTGTAACTATCCAAGACTTATCTGACTTGATCTGATCTGAGGTAAAAAAGAGTCCAAAATAAAAACATGCTAAAAGAGATGATTTCACTACATAGCACCTCGCTCTTAACTCTTAAGTAAACTGGATGTAACCCGACTCGCAAGTATTCATATATTTGCAACTAAAACAAAATAAGACCATTGAGTTCAAGACTTCAAGAGAACATGGTTATAATATATGGTCATAAACTCGTCATATCTTAGATGTAAATGTTTATTTGAATGAGTGGAAATTTGGAATGAGTTAAAATAGATGGTGTATATTTGGAAGAGACGGTGCAACGACTTTGGGATTTGGACATTGATTAAAGTTGGGAGTTGTGGAGTTGGGTAAGTCTGTACTGTTGAACCACTTGGATTTTCTTGTGTTTCAAGTTGGGTTTAGGTAATCATGAAGAAAACAAAATATTGGATGAAAAATAATTTCATAAATCATTTCATACTTGCTAGTAAATTAAATGGAAAGTTCCTGAAATAGGACTAATACAGTTTCAAAATTTCCAAAATAGGATTGTCATATTTTTTATTCCCAAAACAGGATTAATTACTACCATGTTTAGAAAATAGTGTCATGTTTGATGTTTGGTACTGTCAAAACATGACAGTAATTAGTCCTATTTTGGGAATAAAAACATGCCAATCCTATTTTGTAATTTTGAAACCCGTTAAGTCCTATTTCGGGTATAATTTCTAAATTAAAAGTTAATTACAATCCACTAAAAGAGTATTTGTCATTGCTTCTGCTTTAATAGTGCTTTGAAAAAGCTTGGAGTATCTTTTACAATCCACAAATCACTTTTAAAGTGATTTTGAAAAAATGGTTATTGGTAAAAGTTGATAGTGTTTGAGAAAAAAAATTGAAAAATAAAAGTTGATAGTGTTTTGGTAAAATATGTGCCTTTTGTGTAATATATAAAGTAGAAAAAAGATTATAGCTTTTAGTTATATATCAAGTGGTTGATTTGAAAACACTATGTTCAGCTTTTTTAATCCAAAAGGTGAAAATAACTTTTTTCTTTGCAAACATACCTTAAATATCTCATCGTAATAAGCTGCATGAAAGCTCTAAAGACTTGCAAATTTCACATTCCCAAACCGAAGTTTAATTTTTTGGCCTATAATTTTGTAATATTTGAATGTACTTTTGTGAGAATTGAAGGTGACCTTTGAACTAATTAATTATGGGTATTGGTAAGTTTTTTGTTCTAGAAGTAGAGGTTACTTATCATCATTCTTACGGAAGAATAATAGTGGGAATTTCTTGAGGTTTAGACCACTGCAATGTCTCACAAAAATATGCATGTGATATTGTGAAGTTGTAGTCATTCGTAGCTTCAAAATCAAGATAAGAACCATCCGAATTGGCAAAAGTCTGTCATCGCCCATGATTTTGCTCTGTATTAGATTCTTCATTAGCTAAA